CGAGCGTGGGGTGGCAGGGGCTGACTGCTGGGCCGCTTTTTCGCGTGATTCGACGCTTTGTCGTCACCCAGGCCAGCGGTAAGAAGCGCGTCATTGATGATGCTCTGGCTGGCAGGCAGAGCGAGTTTAGCAGTGATGCCAACAAGCTCCAGTTCTGCTCGGCTATTCAGCCGTGTCTGCACGCGCAAGCCCTTGCAGCAGAGTTGGTTCGCCAAGGAAGGAGTTGGCCGGACACCCTAGCCACAGCAGGGGAAGACCTGCCTGACGCGTATCGCAAGATCCCAATGCACCCGGACCACGCCTGGGCGTGTGTTGTGGCGTACCACGACTGCCGGGCTGGGGGCCCGCGTTTTAGGCGATATAAGGGCATGCTGTTCGGGTTGCCGCTTGCAGTTTCCGCATTCAACAGGCTTCCGATGTTTCTGCAGTGTGTGTGCAGGAGACTGCTCCGTGCTTTGGTGTCAATGTATTTTGACGACTTGACACTGCAGGATTGGCGCAGCCTCGCCGCCGAGACGCAAGCGCATGTAGAAGAGCTGTTCGAGCTATTTGGGTTTCCCTTCTCGACCGAGAAGCGGCAAGAGCCAGCAGCCACCGGAGATTTCCTAGGGCTCATGCATGATTTTCTCAACTGCAGCAGGGCACCATCCGGGTCTGGGTGCGTGAGAGGCTAGTTGAAAAAATTGGAGATATCGTGCGAGAAGCCCAAGAAACCGACACCCTCAAACCAGGGCAAGCCAGTAAGCTGTACGGGTGTGTTACCTTTCTCGATCAAGGTGTGTTTGGGCGGGTGGCCCGTGCAGGCCTCACTGCCATAAAGGACCGGCAGTATGCTTCACGTGGCCATGCTCGCCTCACTGACGAGCTGCGTACAGCCTTTGACACCATCCAAGCTGTGCTTGACATGCGACCTGAGCGTCTTGTCCGTGTTCTTCCCCAGTTGGGTAGGAGAGTCTTGGCGGCCAGTGATGCTGCCCAGGATGCGTGCCGGATTGGATCCGGAGGGTTCCTTGTTGTTACTCCCAGGCAAGAAAGGCTAGGCGCAGTCGTCCCTGTTGATGATGCCGTGTTCCATCTTTGGGACGAGCAAGAAACAAAAATCGCGCAGTTGGAACTGCTTATGGTGCTGCAAGGGCTCATTACGTTCCCTGAAAAGTTCCAAGGTACCTCCGGGGTGTGGTATGTAGACAATATAGCAGCCTTGATGGCGTTGGTCCGGGGCAGGAGCGACAGCCCCGAACTTGACCACATGGCGCAAACCATTCACATTCTCTTGTTCCACTTGCGGTGCTATCTGTATTTCGAGTGGGTGCCCAGCAGCAGCAACTGGGCCGATGGCATCTCACGAGATGGCTTTGAGGACCGATGGTGGAGGCGCCACAGGTTCAAGGTTCACTCCAGCGCAGTTCCAGTTTTCCTTTGGCGATTCCCACTTGCAGTGCGCTCTGCTATTTTCAGCTTCCTAGCGTAGTAGGCGCCTTGCTGGCGGTGGATCCCACCCAAGACGTGGGTGAGTAATACCGTTGCCTACACCCAGAACGAGTCAGGGGCGAGGAATGCTGCGGAAAGAGCCACTGATTGCATCTCCTGGTTGATAGATAGTGCGTTGGGGTGAGCAGCGCCAGTGGGCGCAGGTATCAGAGTGCTTTGGGAGGTGTGTATCCCATATGCCATGAGTGTTCGCTGAGTATACAGCGCGCCGCCGGGCGGCCCCTGCGTGTTTAGGGACCACCAACGCACTATGGGCGAGGAGCTCATGGAACGAGTGATTGTTAAGCTGCGAGCCCAAAAAGAAAACACTGAGTGTGAGTGCACAGAACATGCTACTGTTTTGTGCTTCGGGCAGGCTAGGTGAACGGTGTTCGTTCTTGCGCTCCACCTCAGTCAGAACTCAACGCCTAATGTAGCCATGCGTTGCGTGTTGTGGCTCAAGGCCAAAATGGAGTTCTGGTTTGTCGACCTCAGTGTGTGAGGTGTGCCCCGAGTAGCTGGGCGTGTCTTTCATCCCACCCTCCTCTCCCTATATCTAGATCCGATCTTACTCACTGGGTGAGCGACTGCCCTCCGCCTTCGTGGCGGTTGTGGTAGAGGCACTGTGTGCCGCTTTGGCGTATGGGAGGTGTGTATCCCATATGCCATGAGTGTTCGCTGAGTATACAGCGCGCCGCCGGGCGGCCCCTGCGTGTTTAGGGACCACCAACGCACTATGGGCGAGGAGCTCATGGAACGAGTGATTGTTAAGCTGCGAGCCCAAAAAGAAAACACTGAGTGTGAGTGCACAGAACGAAAATAGTAAAATAGTAAAATAGTAAAATAGTAAAATAGTAAAATAGTAAAATAGTAAAATAGTAAAATAGTAAAATAGTAAAATAGTAAAATAGTAAAATCTGGGTCGGACCGGCACAGGTGGGTTTTCGAGATGCAAACTGCTGAGCCAGTGGAGGAAATCCTATTAAAAGTAAAGAGAGAGGGAGGAATTTTCTCTGGATTTCGCGCGAAA